AAAGAACCTGGGTGGTGTACCAGGTTTAGAAATGTGTTTGTGCCTGTTTTGTAATGCTTTTGTGGGATACTTTTTTATATTTTTTCCAGAATAAAACACAGCTGAATTCATTGACAGCATTACTTACCATAACAGCAGAAGAGAAGACCAAGGTAATCATAGATGACTGTGTATATATGATATTTATAAGGTAAAGTGATTTAGGGGGGCAAGTTATATGTTTTATTTAGTCATTTTGTGTCGTTGCCTTATGCTTTTACAGTACTTCCTACATTCAGAGTTTTGCCAATCAATTCAATCTTATTGTGACCTTTTACTGTGAATGCAGATGAGTTTGTCCTTCTGTCATGCACAGCAGATAAACAAGAGATAGGTTGGCTCTTTATACAAAAGAACCAGAATTCCTAATGTAGAAGTGATAGCTGAGAAATTCTGGGCCTCGTTATATTTTTCTACCTAATTTTTCAAAGGAAAAATTGTCCAACCCCAGAGAATGGTGATAAAAAATATGTACGTTAGGGCTGTGTGAAATTTCACTGGGTGTTTCATTTTGAACCTATTTCAATGTGTTTCGAGCTTGAAATAGCGAAATCAAAATGAAACAAAAGCTTTCGAAACGGCTTCAAAACGAAACAAGGGCACTCAAAACGTTTTGAGTTTCGAAGCTGGACTTATTTGGCTTCAGCACCAGTCCCAGCTGGCAGTAGCAGCCTCCTGGTATCCGGTGCACAGATCTGGGGGCCGCGCCCCCCAGGAGGAGTCTGGTACCGGCCCACGACGCTTCCAGGGGTGCAGGCCTCCAGATCTGTGCGTGGGATGACAGTATGCTGTTGCTGCCAGCTGGAGCCAGTGGCAGCAGCAGTCTTCTCAGCACTCAGCATGGGCTGCACCCAGCGCTGGTCCCAACCAGCAGCAGCAGCTTCCTGTCATTTGGCGTGCAGATCAGAGGTCTGCCTGCACCCCCAGGAGGGCTGCAGGGCTGTGCCCAACTCCTCCCAGGGTGCGGGCCCCCGATCTGTGTGCCGGATGGTAGCACCAGTCTTCCTGGCAAGGTGGCAGCAGCAGTCTCCTGTCATCCAGCATGCAGATCAGGGGTCCGGACCCTCCGGAGGAGTCTGGTACAGCCCCACAGCCCTCCTGGGGGTGCGGGCCCCTGATCTGTGCGTCAGAGGCTGCTGCCAGCTGGGACCAGCACTGGGCACAGCCCATGCTGAGCGCAGGGAAGATTGGTGCTGCCACTGGCAGCAGCAGTGTCCTGTCATCCCGCGCACAAATCCGAGGGCCTGTACCCTCAGGAGGGCTGCGGGGCTGTGCCATACTCCTCCCAGGGGGTGCAGGCCCCCGGATCTGTGTGCCAGATGACAGGAGGCTGCTGCTGCCTTGGGCTAGCAGCAGCACCAGTCTTCCCGGCTCTGGGTGTGGGCTGTGCCCAGTGCCGGTTCCAGGTGGCAGCAGCAGCCTCCTGTCATCTGGTGCACAGATCGGGGCCCGCGCACCCAGAAGGGCTGTGGGACTGTGCCAGACCCCTCCGAGGGGGAACAGGCCCCCGGATCTGTGTGTTGGATGACAGGAGGTTGCCGCTGCTGCCTTGGGCCAGCGGCAGCACCAATCTTCCCAGCACTGGGCACAGCCTGCGCCCAACACTGGTCCCAAGTGGCAGCAGCAGCCTCCTATCATCTGCTGTGCAGATCTAGGGTCCTGCACCCCAAGGAGGAGTCCGGGACAGCCCTGCAGCCCTCCCAGGGGTGCAGGACCCGGATCTGTGGGCTGGATGATAGGAGGCTGCCACTGCTGCCAAGTGTCACAAGTTTTGCTTTGAACAGTTTGAAGTGCAGTTCCCCAGAAACCTCAGAACTTATCTCCTTGAAACTTGGCAGGTGTCATGCCGTCTGAAGGGGCTATCGTCCCTGCAAGTTTAATCCAAATCAGGCAAGAAATGACAAAGGTTTAGGCATTTTCATGATTCCCCATTATAGCCTATGGGCGAAATGTCAAAACAGTGAAACAGTTTCAATGAAATGAAATGGAACAGTGCTTTTGAAACAAAACAAAACCTGAAACGAAACACTGTCCCATTAAAATGGCAGTCGAAATGAAATGGTGCTGTTTCGCACAGTCCTAGTCCACATCTGCTGTTGGCCTTATGCAGCTTGATTATGTTTTTTTGTTTCTGGAGCACATTCCAAAAGGGTGAAGTCATTTTACATCTACTGAGGAATGCATTGCTCTTTTTGATGAGTCAAATATCCATGGTGGGGACCTAGGCATTCTCCCTTCCACTGTATGCTTCTGTCCTTGACTTGTGGAATACAAGCCTGCAGAGTAACATTGATTTCAGGAAGTAGTGCTTTTCTTCCATTACATTTTCATTAGACAACTCTCCACTTCATCTGACAGCTACCTTGCTAAAGTAAACTCTTTACTAAGCTCAGCACCCTCCCCTCACCTTGCTAGCAATACCATTAGCCATTCAGGCTGTTGCATTGCAGGGAATCTTTATTAAGTAGTAGTGATTAAAGTGGTGACACTGTGAGCGAGCACTGTGATTACTGGCGCTCACTCACAAAGAGGAAAATAATTTATTTCACCCCAAAGCTACGTTGCTATGGTTGTGTTATTTGAAGTTTAAAGGTCACATTGACAAGGCAATAGCAGAACAAGTGAAAACTGAGAGGAAATATCAGAGACAGGTACTGCATAGAAAACTGCATAATTTGTGCAACATTTGAGTAAATAGGAGCTGATTCCTATGCAAAGGTAGAGTTATAGGATCTTCAAGGAAGGAAAATGCTGAGAATCAATGGGTTCTTGAGTAAGCCTATGCATTTTACCTGATATGACTTATAAGGGGAGGAGAATTACTAGCAAGTGCTTCTCTGCCTCACATTTCACAAAACTGTAGAAAAAAGAATAATGATATATCTGGATCATTTAAAAAATATTGAAATTGTTTCTTTTGCCATCTGTAAGTTTTGGCTTGAACTTCTTAGCAAGAACAAGTTAGTAGTTTTCGCATTGCTTCACATTTTAAAAAGTTCCCAAAATGCTTAAATCCTAATAAGCAATGGGGTTTAAAAACTTTTGAAGTGTTTTGAAAAATAGAAACATCTCCAAAATTTTGTTAACAAGTTCAACCAACATAGTTTCTCCAACCTCATTCTTAATCTGAAAAATGGTGATCCATTTCAGCTGAGACCCGAGTTGCCAATGTAAGACTTTCTTTTTACTGACAATCCGCATACTTTTTACTGACACTTTTTTAACTGTCAGTAAAAGACCAATTTTCTTGGATTGGTAAACAATGACTATAGCCATGGTTTTACACCCTGTTGCCCTCTGCCACAAGAGTCCTCTACTCACCCCAAACCTAAGGCTCCTGACTTCACCCTGCACTGTGTGCATCCCCCTGGCCAATCCTCCAGCTTTACCCTGCCAGTTCTGCCCCATCCTAGCATGGACCCCTGAAGAAGACTACCTGTGACCCAGCAGTATTACAGGACAGGAAGAAGCAGCACTGTGTGGCTAGAGCAAGGGGCCTACAAAGCGTGGAAAGAAGGTTTCCTGCAGAGTGCCACACTCCCACTCAGATACTAAGTGCCACTGCTCTGCTCTTTGTGTGCTTCAGTGAATTTCCAGCCATCCAACTTCATTCTGAGAAGGATTTTCACAAAGTAACTGGAGCTTGATTGTTTTTACAAAATGCTTGAATTTATTTATAGACTTTAGAGACAGGCATTTTTAGCCTGCCTTTTTACTTTTTGTAAATTTACAGTTGGCAACCCTGATTGAGACTTTGTGGAAAAAGGAAAATACAGCATGAGACAGGTGAGCAGCACAGATGATTTTGTGTGGAACATTGGTGTAACAGGGTGGCACCAAGGCACTCACAAAATTTTTTGCCACCACCCTGTTTGGGGACAGTCGGCCCCGCACTTTCCTGCCGTGCCTTGTTGTAGCAGTGAATATTTAAACTGTGGGAGGCTACCCTGATTTTAGTGGTGCAAACTACCTTCGTGGCCCTAGCCTTATGGGTCACCACACATGGTTGCTGCTTTCCCTACGCTGTGTCCCATGCCTTACAGATGGCATTGTAATTGTCATGTCTGGTTCATGTCACAATCTGTACACTTCCTGAGCTGGGCTGCACTCCAGCTCATGCCCCCAACTGGGCCACACTTAACTGTTACGTTCAGTTACTCTCTTGTCACATCAGGTTTGTCACATCCAGTATACTCTACTGTCTTATCTGGCTCTACCCCTACCGGGTCTCCTCATCACTCAGGTCTTCTTCAACTTAGCCATACTCTTTAACTCTGGTCCCTCACTCATTTTGGGCCCAGGATCTCAACTCAGGACTCCTAGCTCCACTCAGGCCCCTCTGCTCCATTCTCAGTTATATTTAGACCTAATTCACTTCACACTGGCCTGGTTCTTTTTACTGAGGCTTTGCATTGGCCTGGCTCTGCCTTCTCAGCCCACTTCATTTCACACTGGCCTGGCTTTGCCTACTCAGGCCCATATCCACTGAATGACTTGGCTCTGGTCTGCTCAGGCCTCTCCCCAGGCCTGGCTTTGGTTCACTCAGGCCTCTTCACTTCATCCTGGGGCATCTGGACCCTCATTTTTCCATCAGGGTGTGCTTCCTAAGCCTTTCCCCTCCACAGGGGTGGAGGGCACTGAGGCATTCCAGTGCCCTATCCTTGCCTTTCACTGGAGAGGCACAGGTGTGGCATTTCCTGGGGGCTGCCCCGCCATAGACAGTTCCACCACAGCAACCATCTCTGGCCAGGGAGTAGGGCCAGGCCTAGACAGGCAAAGGTCCCTGGATTGGGTCCACCAGCAAGAGATAGCAGGCCAGGGTCATCAGAGCCTGTGTGAAGGTGGCTTGGAAAGTCACCTGAGGAGTGGGCCTAAGGAATGAGGGTCCGGAATGAGGACTTGGGCCAGGAAGATGAGGAGATGGAGTTAGGGCCCGAGAGCTTGAGGATGCCTGCCCAAGGGAGAGGGGTATGTCTCCAGGAAGGCCTAGGAGAAAATGCAGTGAGATTAGGGTGGCCTGATGGTTGGTTCTTGGTAAGACCAAAAAATGCACTCAGTTTAGGCTTATGCCCTGACTCAGCCCAGGCTCAAGCCACCCAGCCGCCCCCTTGGT